ATTGGCTTTGGCTCAAATGTTTTCAGTGTTGGATGCCTTGTTGTTTATATGAATTCACACTTCGTTATGATGTTTTAGGCACGCACACACAACACACACACACACACACACACACACACACACACACACACACACACACACACACACACACACACACACACACACACACACACACACACATATTATTATAATTCTAAATTACACCCTGTGTACAAGGACTGTCCATGGTTAACTACCACTGACAGCAGTGGTAGTTAACCATGCCAGATGCGAACGCTACCACTCATCTATAGACAACACAGCATGTATAGATAGGCGGACAGATAGGTAGCTAAATGATATTTATATATACAGTTTACATATACAATATATATTCACAAACAGACGAACATTCATAAAGTACGTAGAGCCACAAACAGTTGCAACGAAGGGGCAGTTTGGGTCCGGGACGCCGACCGCCTGCGCGCCGAGGCTGACGCGTCGACCCAGTGACTTCGCCTTCGGAGTCTTCGCAGCACGCAAGGCTTCGCGCGACGCAACGTGGTGGTCCAGTTCGCGGTGGATGGTTTAGGCTTCTTTTATATGGTTGTTTTGTGAATTTGTTGCTGATGTTTTATTTAGTTGTTTTTTTCTTATTCTTTTGTTTTTGTTAAATAGTTCTTCGGGGTTTCTTATGATGTTTCTTATGGATCCGTGGCATCAGATTAGTTTTCTTAATATCCTTACTTGCCTTGTGTTGCAAGATTCTATACGAAAAGTCGAATTTAAGACTTGATAGTAATACAAAGGAACCTATAGTGGATTTAGGGGAATAGGTGCAACAGTACTCAGAGCTTAGTACAAATCTTGCAGGGTTTAATTGTGATTGAAGAAGTAAATAGAAATAATCCATGGATGAGACCATTTCCGAGTTTTTCCCTACGGTGATCCTATTACATACACTACTGATCTCTCTCTCTCTCTCTCTCTCTCTCTCTCTCTCTCTCTCTCTCTCTCTCTCTCTCTCTCCTCTCTCTCTCTCTCCTCTCTCTTCTCTCTCTCTCTCTCTCTCTCCTCTCTCCCCTCTCTCTCTCTCTCTCCTCTCTCTCTCCTCCCTCCCTCCCTCCCTCCCTCCCTCCTCCCTCCTCCCTCCTCCCTCCTCCCTCTCCTCCTCTCCTCCTCCCTCCTCCCTCCTCCTCCTCCTCCTCCTCCTCCCTCCCCCCTCTCTCTCTCGCTCTCTCTCTTTCTCTCATTCAATCGCCGTATGTGTCCATATGCCTTCCTTCCTCAGTCGGGCACGCACACGCAAGCACAATCACAACCACTTCCTTTCTTCCGCACGCGCTCTCTCTCGCTCTCTCCCTTCCTCACTCGGACCTTATGTAGATTCACGTACTAATACTATGCATTCACCTGAGGTACTATAAACGCCAACACCTGTTACACACTCGGTAATACGTGTACACATTTTATGAATAAGCTCATCAGAATTAAAAGGATACTCTGGGTCATCAGTATTTGGTAATTCTTATTAAGGTACGATTAAGAAAGGCAGAATTAATTTCATTTTTCTTAATCTTCTTTGATCGCATATATCATGGAGGAAGGTTTGCGAAATTAGATACAGAATAGAATAGATAAAAGAGAAGAAAGAAAGAAAAAAAAATGAAACGAATAAAATGCATGTACTGAATGTTATATATTGTGACTTTTATCGAGGTTATTATATTCATTAATTTACTTTTTTCCCTATTAATCACTTTGATTACTATGCTCATTAATTTTCTTTGTTTATGTTTACCTATCATTATTGCATTTTTTTAATACTCATCACTGCGTAGTCATTAATTTTTTGCATGAATATTTATGATATCATAAAGATGACAGTTATGCGATAATGGAGGAGCCAATATTGCATTCAAAGTATCCACTATTGTTGCTATTTCCTTTAGTTATCATTATCATCAATTCCAAATGAGTTTGTTGCAGCCATTCTTGTATTTATGATTACCGTTATTAGATAAAAGAATGAAAAAAATGTTGTTCTATTTTTCTTCTTCTTCTTTTCAGATAAAAGAATAAGTAAAAAATACTTTTCTTCTATTTCTTTCTTCGTCTTTTATTAACATGATTGTCATAATTTATAACTACGATTAAATTGATGGAGGACAAAGATACGGAATTCAGTAGCATCAGTTTCATGATTGTTTATTGACACATATATTATCGACGTCAATTTTCATTATCAAGACCATTATATCATTACCCACCTTCTACGAAAGAGGAAAGTGGAATGAGGAGGGGATGTAGGAGAAGAAAGCGGGAGAGGAGGAGAGGAGAGAGGGAGAAGAGGAGAAGGGGCATAGAGGACAAGAGAGAGGAAGACGAGGAGAAAAAAGGGGGAAGGAGGAGAGAGAGAGAGAGGGAGAAGGGGAGAAGAGGAAAAGAGAGAGGAAGACGAGGAGAAGAAAGAGGGAGAGGAGGAGAGGAGGGAGGGAGAAGAGGAGAAGAGAGAGGGAAAAGAGGAGAAGAGGAAAAGAGAGAGGGAGAGAAGGAGAAGAGGAAAAGAGAGAGGGAGAGGAGGAGAGGAGGAAAAGAGAGAGGGAGAAAAGTAGGAGAGAGAAGGAGAAGAGGATAAGTGAGTGGGAAAAGAGAAGGAGAGAGAAGAAGAGGTGAAGAGAGAGGGAAAAGAGGAGGGGGGGAGAGGACAAGAGGAGAAGAGAGAGAGAGGAACGAGAAGAGAGACAGAAGAGAAAGAGAAGAGTAGGAGAAAGAGAAGAGAAAAAGAGAAGAAACAAAAAGGTGAGGGAGAAAAGAGGAGAAGCAGAGAGAGAAGGGGGGGGAATGAGAGTAGAGGGGAGTAAGCGAGGGAGGAACAGGAGAAAGATAAGCCGGAAGGAAAAACAGCGAAGGAAGACAAGAGGAAGGGAGGAGAAAGAATGAGGAAGGAAGGAGCGATGGAGAAGAAGGGGAGGAAGGAAAAATGGGAGAAGGGAGGGAGAAAGCGACATCCAAACCCCCCGACACAACTACACAGATACTTTTGTTCTATACAGGGCACCTTTGTTCTCTCGGTTCTCTAGAGTGTAAACGAACGATTTAGGGGAAAAAAGTACAAGGTGAATAGTAAAGCAAAATAACAAACGTAGAGTAAGAGTGCTGGTGTGTGTATATTTCTTCACAGTGAAAGAATAAAGAAGTTTCGCGACAGGTCAAGAATCGAAGGTAGTGTGGATATTGTCTGGTCCCTTTCTTTATCTGTAGATTTAT